GGTTTCCTCCTGTAGTAACACTGGATAAATAAGAGATGACCCTTACTTGACCTCTGGGAAGAACAGTTTAGAACTGATAGAGCTATCTTATATAAAGTTAGTTTAGTTTAGGTTTCCTCCTGTAGTAACACTGGATAAATAAGAGATGACCCTTACTTGACCTCTGGGAAGAACAGTTTAGAACTGATAGAGCTATCTTATATAAAGTTAGTTTAGTTTAGGTTTCCTCCTGTAGTAACACTGGATAAATAAGAGATGACCCTTACTTGACCTCTGGGAAGAACAGTTTAGAACTGATAGAGCTATCTTATATAAAGTTAGTTTAGTTTAGGTTTCCTCCTGTAGTAACACTGGATAAATAAGAGATGACCCTTACTTGACCTCTGGGAAGAACAGTTTAGAACTGATAGAGCTATCTTATATAAAGTTAGTTTAGTTTAGGTTTCCTCCTGTAGTAACACTGGATAAATAAGAGATGACCCTTACTTGACCTCTGGGAAGAACAGTTTAGAACTGATAGAGCTATCTTATATAAAGTTAGTTTAGTTTAGGTTTCCTCCTGTAGTAACACTGGATAAATAAGAGATGACCCTTACTTGACCTCTGGGAAGAACAGTTTAGAACTGATAGAGCTATCTTATATAAAGTTAGTTTAGTTTAGGTTTCCTCCTGTAGTAACACTGGATAAATAAGAGATGACCCTTACTTGACCTCTGGGAAGAACAGTTTAGAACTGATAGAGCTATCTTATATAAAGTTAGTTTAGTTTAGGTTTCCTCCTGTAGTAACACTGGATAAATAAGAGATGACCCTTACTTGACCTCTGGGAAGAACAGTTTAGAAATGATAGAACTATCCATTATAAATAAAGTTTGTTTAGTTTAGATTTCCTCTTGTAACACTGGCTCTCTATGTGACGACTCTCACTGGACCTCTAAGGAAAACAGTTTAGATCGGATAAAGCTATCCAGTATAAATAAAGTTAGTTTAGTTTAGGTTTCCTCCTGTAGTAATACTGGATCAATAAGAGATGATCCTTACTGGACCTCTAGGGAGAACAGTTTAGAACAGATAGAGCTATCCAGTATAAATAAAGTTAGTTTAGTTTAGGTTCTTCCTGTAGTAACACTGGATCAACAAGAGATGATCCTCACTGGACCTCTAGGAAGAACAGTTTAGAACTGATAGTGACATTCTGATCACTGGATCGTGACCGAATGGCATGGAGAAATGAAAAGACAATGCAACATTTTGGTATTGTTATGCTGTAAAAATTACTGTATAAAATAACCCAATTTTTTTTTAACTCTCTTTCAGATTCAACAACCTTAAAGGCCAAACGCGCAAAGTGGACATAGACGACGAAGTCAGAATATGGTGTCCAAAATACTACACCCAAGGCATCAAAACAACTTATCAACTGCATCAATCTAAACTATACTTCGCATTATACAAAGTAGAAACGAAAGAAGAGTATGACAATTGTGATGCAAGAAAGGGGAAGAGATTATTGTACTGTACCGACCCATCTGGGGAAAGTACGAAAGACACAGAGGAAAGACAGATTGTATTTATGAGTAATCCAATCAGTAGCTTCAATGATCCCTATCCTGCTGGGAACACTTACTACTTTATTGGTAGGTAACATCTCTCATCTCTCTCTAATATAAATTTAATCAACAGAACCAATGAAGGTACAGACAACAGGACCCACATTAAGTCATAGGAACTCAGGAATATATTTTTTCTCACCTCATTATAAAACCTGTTCCCAAATCAATGTCCTCTTTAGGAACGTCTGGTGGTCTGAAGGAAAACATCGACAAAAAAGTCGGAGGGAAATGTCGAAGTCACAACATGAAGTTTGCAATTTATGTCTGTAGACAAGAAGAGAATTGCAACGTTGATGGTAAGATATTAATAGACACCTCACAAAAAAAAAGCCCACACTCCCCCTATAGTATTTCAGCATACGTTCTAAACAACCAGACCATATTTTAGACAGCTGTTTTAGTGGTTTGTCTCTCTGAACAGCTATGTTTCTGTATTTTGTGGATAAATCTAGCCTAACAAAGTTCCAGTTTCTCATTGATGTGGTTGACGGGAGTCCCTGATAATCATACTTAGGACTTATTAGAATGCGAAGAATGATTATACAATTTCATGACACTTTACGGCTGCCAACAAACAGGCTTGTTAAATGGTGAAAGGAGGAGTCCGATCACATCGCGTTATGAAAACGGATTAGTGTGGGCGTAGCCTAGATCAGTGACAAAGCTAGTATGAATGGCAACTGGTCATGATATGCTAATAAACCTGCATTTACATAGGTTAAAGACAATTATACATTTCTAAAGGTTTTGTCATGTGAGTGATAAAAACGGTGCTCATCTTGTATTTCTTCTTCTCTTTAGTATTGGATGGAGGATGGTCGTTGTGGCAAGTGAACAAAGCAACAGGATTGTGTGAGAGGAACTGTACTGACCCAGCGCCACAGAATGGTGGCTTTGGTTGCAGAGGTTCAAAGAATATCGACTGCTCTAAGAGTAAGGATTTTTGTTACTAAAGATTGTGGTGGTGATGATGATGATGTTGGTGATGATGATGATGATGATGATGATGTTGATGATGATGATGGTGTTGATGATGATGTTGATGGTGATGATGATGGTGATGGTGATGATGATGTTGGTGATGATGATGATGTTGATGATGATGATGATGATGGTGATGATGATGTTGGTGATGATGATGTTGGTGATGATGATGATGGTGATGATGATGATGATGGCGATGATGATGATGGCGATGATGGTGATGTTGGTGATGATGTTGATAATGATGATGATAATGTTGGTGATGATGTTGATAATGATGATGATAATGATGATAATGATGATGGTGGTGATGGTGATGATGGTGATGATGTTGATGATGATGATGATGGTGTTGATGATGATGTTGATGGTGATGATGATGGTGATGGTGATGATGATGTTGGTGATGATGATGATGATGTTGATGATGGTGATGATGATGATGTTGGTGATGATGATGTTGGTGATAATGATGATGGTGATGATGATGATGATGGCGATGATGATGATGGCGATGATGGTGATGTTGGTGATGATGTTGATAATGATGATGATAATGTTGGTGATGATGTTGATAATGATGATGATAATGATGATAATGATGATGGTGGTGATGGTGATGATGGTGATGATGTTGATGATGATGATGATGGTGTTGATGATGATGTTGATGGTGATGATGATGGTGATGGTGATGATGATGTTGGTGATGATGATGATGATGTTGATGATGGTGATGATGATGATGTTGGTGATGATGATGTTGGTGATAATGATGATGGTGATGATGATGATGATGGCGATGATGATGATGGCGATGATGGTGATGTTGGTGATGATGTTGATAATGATGATGATAATGTTGGTGATGATGTTGATAATGATGATGATAATGATGATAATGATGATGGTGGTGATGGTGATGATGGTGATGATGTTGATGATGATGATGATGGTGTTGATGATGATGTTGATGGTGATGATGATGGTGATGGTGATGATGATGTTGGTGATGATGATGATGATGTTGATGATGGTGATGATGATGATGTTGGTGATGATGATGTTGGTGATAATGATGATGGTGATGATGATGATGATGGCGATGATGATGATGGCGATGATGGTGATGTTGGTGATGATGTTGATAATGATGATGATAATGTTGGTGATGATGTTGATAATGATGATGATAATGATGATGATGATAATGATAATGGTGGTGATGGTGATGATGATGTTGATAATGATGATGATGATGATGATAATGGTGATGATGATGATGGTGGTGATGGTGATGATAATAATGTTGGTGATGATGATGTTGATGAGGATGGTGGTGATGATGGTGGTTGTGATGAGGATGGTGGTGGTGATGATGGTGGCGGTGGTGGACTGGTGGTGGTGGTGATGATGATGGTTGTGATGGTGTGGTATCTTGACTAATAATTTGCAACTTTCCATCATCTTAGTAATAAGTGGCAGAAAGCCGAGCCCAACAACTGCAAAAGAATCAACAACAGAAACTACAACCACAGCAGTGAAAGAGAGCACAAAAGAAACTACAATATTAACTTCAAAAAAACAGAAAGTAAACACACCCAAACCGACAGTCCGAACGATCCATCAGCCTAAACCAACATCTATGCCAACAACATCTATGCCAACAAAGTATATGCCAACAAAGTATATGCCAACAACGTCCAGCACTGATTCCACAATATCCAATAAGGATGCTCTCGGTAGGTAGCTTGCAAATTACAAAGGGTCAGCCCTTACTAAACCTCCAGAAAGAACAGTTTAGAACTGATAGAACTATCCAGTATAAATAAAGTTCGTTTAGTTTAGATTTCCTCCTGTAGTAACACTGGATCAATAAGAGATGATCCTTACTGGACCTCTAGGAAGAACAGATTAGAACTGATAAAGCTATCCAGTATAAATAAAGTTAGTTTAGATTTCCTACTGCAGTAACACAGGATCAACAAGAGACTGGGATGATTCTTACTGGACCTCTAGGGAGAACAGTTCACAACTGGTAGAGCTATCTATTCCTATATTATTAATAATGTATGTTTATCCATCTCTATTCTAGAAACAGAAACGGGCAACAGTGACGACGTAACGCTATCCATGAAGGGTGCAGTTCTGACATTTGTTGGTTTGTTTATACTTGGCTGCATTGTAGGAATTGTACAAGTACTCATTATTCTTCATGTTAGGAGCAAACGTTCTGGAAAACAGCCAGGTGCGTGTGATATTTGTTAACCCATCTGTATTGTTGTTGTCAGTAAGCGTTACAGGTCACTAGATGGTGGACAATGTCAGAAATTGAAAAAAATACCTATGGTTCCTGTTCCCAACCGACCCTATTTTTTTTTCTGCCGACCCTATTCTTTTTTCAACGCAATTGACCGTGCGACCCTATTTTCTCCAGGTGGTTGCGGGCTGCTCATACAGCATGCCAAAATGGCGCCTGTTGTCACACTAATTATTGAACCAAATTGCCTAAATTCGTCCATAGGAAATACGCATCTCTAGTTAATATTGATGTCGGGACTCTACTGCAAATCACCCGGCAAAAAACCACCAAAACCATGAAAAAATATTCAAAAAAAATTTATTTCTAACCTACCAACCCTAATTTTTTCATGATGTGAAACCGAAACCACAGGTATTTTTTTGGCCTAATATTTTTGCCTCCTAATACAAGGACTACTACATATAATGAAAAGAATGAACATTACTTTATCACTCTGATAACTGAAACACACCTATATATTTAATTAATACTGTTTAATAGTCAAATATAATACCTGATTTGTGAACTAAAATCACCCTATTCTCTTTCCAACAGAGCCACAAAGTCCTGTGAACCACGTATGACAGTGATTTCAGCTTGACAAACAAGTCAACAAGCACAAGTGGCAGCCAAACGCCCATGAAGTCTTTAACCATGTGGTGTTGCAATTAAACACAAAATTACCCAAGATTTGCGACACCTTTTTCAACATTTTCTCTGATTCAACGACAGTATAAATGGTCTCAATCGAAAGAGCATTACAATGTTCACATAATACACAAGAATCGTTGCAAAACAATTGTGAAAATTGAAGAGATTTTAACGTTTAAAATCAGAACAATTTAAAAATTGAGAATTTTGAAAAGAACTTTAAATTTCGCGCAATGTCCCGCGAGTTCCCTGTTCGTGTCCAGTTTTTTCACGCGGGGAAACTACGCGGTACCGTCGATTGCATCCAAAGGTGAACAGGCGCAAATAAAAACATTGTACAAGTTATAAACTTGTGACAAGGTTGTTGCGAAGCCAATATCAGGATGCTTTCACACTGCTTGTTCCCAGTTGTTGTGAGAAGTCTGGAACACTAATTTATTACGGCATATGCACAGATAACCAGTTCTCAAAGAGAAAAAGCGAAATTAAAATAGATAGGAGCATAGAATACTAGATATTAAACCATTTTATGGTGTAGAGAATTAACTTTAGCAACTAAACGTTCGTTTGTACTTTGTACACACATTAACACAAAGAGGCATCGGAAGGCTTTTTCCGGAGCCCCTCGTAACACATACTCAATAATCGCACAAGAAATAGATCGTATTAATACTAAGAATAGTCGCGTCACACTATGACCAAAAGTCGTGATGTGTTATTTAACCAAATTTACGCATAACCAGATAATGATGTGTGTCAAAAAACTATTGTAAATAAAAGTGTTGTGTATATTAGAATTATTTAGAGATTAATTTATAACAGATTATGTATGAAATGGTAAAGTTGAGTAAAAGTTTATATTTGTGAGAGAACGTTTATTGAAGTTTGTGTGGTCTGGTTTTGATCAAGTCCTAGGACTGGATGAAGTTTGATCAAGTCTTAGGACTGGATGAAGTTTGATTAAGTCTTAGGACTGGATGAAGTTTGATCAAGTCTTAGGACTAGATGAAGTTTGATCAAGTCTTAGGACTGGATGAAGTTTGATCAAGTCTTAGGACTGGATGAAGTTTGATCAAGTCCTAGGACTGGATGAAGTTTGATCAAGTCCTAGGACTGGACGAAGTTTGATCAAGTCCTAGGACTGGATGAAGTTTGATCAAGTCCTAGGACTGGATGACGTTTGATCAAGTCTTAGGACTGGATGAAGTTTGATCAAATCTTAGGACTGGATGAAGTTTTGATCAAGTCTTAGGACTGGATGAAGTTTGATCAAGCTTAGGACTGGATGAAGTTTTGATCAAGTCTTAGGACTGGATGAAGTTTGATCAAGTCTTAGGACTGGATGAAGTTTGATCAAGTCTTAGGACTGGATGAAGTTTTGATCAAGACTTAGGACTGGATGAAGTTTTGATCAAGTCTTAGGACTGGATGAAGCTTTGATCAAGTCCTACGATTGGATGAAGTTTGATCAAGTCTTAGGACTGGATGAAGTTTGATCAAGTCCTAGGACTGGATGAAGCTTTGATCAAGTCCTACGATTGGATGAAGTTTGATCAAGTCTTAGGACTGGATGAAGTTTGATCAAGTCCTAGGACTGGATGAAGCTTTGATCAAGTCCTACGATTGGATGAAGTTTGATCAAGTCTTAGGACTGGATGAAGTTTGATCAAGTCCTAGGACTGGATGAAGCTTTGATCAAGTCCTACGATTGGATGAAGTTTGATCAAGTCTTAGGACTGGATGAAGTTTGATCAAGTCCTAGGACTGGATGAAGCTTTGATCAAGTCCT